CAAATTTCCATGAACTCTCCAGCTTTGGAATTTACAAAGCTTTGGCAACCATTCTCTCGCTATTTTTACCTCTTAAACCAGGTGATCCCCACCTCCTTCAATCCATAATATCTATTGAAGATGGATGGGTAATTTTTTCATTGAAAGCAAGACAAATGAACAAGCTTTAAGATGATACCAATAACTCAATATGTCCAAAAATTGACGAGAGCCTGATTCCACCACGCTGCCTCACATATAGTCTTCCACATTGAGGAGATGCGTGGAAAGGGACATGAAAGGGATGAAGCTCACTTGGAACGAGCTTGGAAGGATGGCTCAGGACAGAGATAAATGAAAGGAGCTTGTATGTGGCCTATACACTGCAAGGGCATTGATGGTGATATAGTGTTCCGTCATGTGGTTGACTTTGATTCCAATGAGCAGACTTGTGATTGGTTTGTGGAATGGCCTGAGCAGAGCGGGTGGTTGGCGGGTGCTCTGGTGTGGTTTGCTTCTTCTTTCCTAAAAAAAATCTTATCTTTTTTATCTCCCCTCCTTCTTTTTTGTGTTTGTTACTCTCTTGTAACACTTCTAATCTTCGGCACTTATATGATCTTATTGTGTTGCAAGTACTGTAAAACTCCTACTAAAACTAAAAGTTAAGGCCTGAGCAGCTCTTAGGCCGCCCCTGTTTAGCTCAGTATCATCGGAAAAGCGCACAGTAAGTCAAAAGTTGTGCCTTTTGAATCCTCTGGTTATATTGATTGGAGTGATAAACCCAATGCCAAACCTTGTGAGGTTTGTGGGTGCTCTGATGTGGTTTGCTCCTTCTTTCCTATAAAACATCTGTTGTTGTTGTTGTTGTTAGCGATCCAGTAGCATCTGAGCGTTAACTCTTCTGCATGATGCCATTCGGTAATAGTTGCATGTTTGTTCTAATTGTTGTCGTGAGGAGTAGAGGCAATTAGATGTGTCTATAAAACATCTATCATCCTAATCTCTGCTCCTTCTTTTTGTGTTTGTTACTCTCTATTGTAACACCTCTATTCTTCGGCACTGATGTGACCTTATTGTATTGCAAGTGCCGTAAAACTCTTACTAAAACTAAAAACCTTATTACATTTTCATAATACAGCATGGTCTATTTTTGCTTGTTCTTCCCCTTTACACTGTACATTAAGTGGCCTCGGTGGCCGAGTGGTTAGGTTCTCGGACTCGCAACCGTAAGGTCGTGGGTTCAAATCCCGTCAGGAGCCCGACGTTGTGTCCTTGGGAAAGGCACTTTGCACACATTGTCCTCACTTCACCCAG